CAGAGGACCCCTGTCTTCCCTCCCAGGAGACAGCCTATCCCAGCTTGTTTCTCTTTGCCCATCTCCCACCCACCTCCAGTGCTTCTCCCTCTCACCTGCCAGCAGGAGCCCCTGCCAGGGGACTCCACCTCTGTGTCCATGGGCTGGGGGCATGTCCATGGGGTCTGCTGCCTCCTCTGTGCTCCCTCTGAGACAAAGAGTGTCTCCCAAGCACAGCTTCTCCTGAGTGTCAGCGCTGAGGTGCTTCCTCTTCTGGGCTGGGCCTCCTCCTGGGTAAGAGATTTTGAGGGTCATGGAGTCCAGGGGTGGGGTCTCTGCCAAGGACACTCCCTCACCTGCCTCCCTTGTTTGCTTTTGCTCCTCTGAAGTCTGTTGGAGACTAGAATTGCTGACATACCTGCCCTCCAGAGCTGTGATCTCTGACCTGTGCATGCGCACGCATACACACGCACACACACACTTTCTCTCTCTCTCTCTCTCTCTCTCTCTCTCTCTCTCTCTCTCTCTCTCTCCCTCTCTTATCAAATTGCTGGAGGTCCTGGGAAGCCTTATCAAGCTTGACTTAAATGTGAATAAAGGTAAACATTAAACAACCAACAATATTTTCATTGAAATTCATAAATGTTTTAGTATCGTAGTCCATTCAGTGTCTGGTAGTGAATCCTTGATATCTTTCTCATTCCTTGAGATCTGTTTTCTATGAATCCTGGAATTACTTCTTCAATTCATTTTATGATAAGACTCCATTGTGAAGTATTTGTCAGATTAAGTTTGTTAAATGTCAAAAGTTGGTCATGAGCATAGTAGAAGGATTGATTAAATTTATTTTCAATACAATTTTGACCATGAGTTTAGGCTTTTCTGTAATAATAATGTTTAATATAAGAACTGAAATTACAAGTTATAGATTACAGCAGTATATTTTAGGGTTTTAAAGTTTCATGTAATGTTTAGCATTAGCATTAATTGTATATTCACCTAGATATAAATGTAGACTGTCTAGTGTCACTTCTAATTTCGTAATTTGTTCTGTGCTGTTCAGCATAAAACCTAAAGAATTTTGGTTTTACATATCACACATATAGAAACATACACAGGGATTCACACATTAAGATTATTCTGAAACCCATTCAAATCACAATTTCATTGCATCCTCTTCAGTTACACAAAGTAAGTATCTTTCTCATTTTTACAAAAACACTACTCAAGAACACGTATTTTTTATTCAATGATATTCTCTACTTTTCTTGGCTGGTGGATTGAATTCTTTGCTATTTTTCAAAGATATATGTGCCATAGAAATCCTTAATTCTCAAAGCCTTCATTTATAGTAAGGACTGAGATCAGCCTCTGTGACTATCTTAAATGAGACTCTCAGGGCTGGGAAGGTATGAATGCAGCTCCTCAGTCTAGACGTGTGTGCTTGACACAGAAGGCAGATGTTAAGAGGCTCAAGATATGTCTACTATTAGCCAATTTCCTTTCATTTCTCTGTTTAGGAGCCAAAAGTAACTAATCCATGATGAGTATTTAATGCTTCCTTGGTTTTTTTTTTTTTTGAAATTTTAATGGTGTATTTTTTAAAAAAAAGATTTATTTATTTATGCAAGCATGGGGGTACAGGCCAGAGGTGTGGGTGGGTGAGAGAATTCACCAGACAGAGCAGGGAGCAGAACAGACAGATGGACTGAAGGCACTGCTGAGGGGAGCAGCAGGCGAGACAGGAGAGGTCTGCTGTGCCATGTGGGAATCTCCCTGGCTGGCTGGGAATAGAACCTGTGCTGCAGAGGCTGTGGATAGCTTCACAGCACTGTGCCACCAGGGAGGCCCCTAATGCTTCCTTAGTTTATGTGCAGAAGTTATAGATATTCAGTGAATTTCCATTATTTGATTTTATGATCAAAACTCTAATGTTACAAGTTGCCAAAAATATTTCAAGCCAAACAAAACTAATACTAAAAAGCTCACCTAGATATTCTGTCCCCAGTCTATATATTAAGCCATTTGCCCGAGTAAATGTGCTTTTCTTTCTTTCTTTTTTTTTTAAAAAAGATTTATTTATTTATTTATACAAGCACTGGGTACAGTCAGAAGCGCGGGAGGGTGAGAGAGTTCACCAGAGCCAGAGCAGGGAGCAGAGCAGGCAGAAGGACCGAAGCACAATGCTGAGGGGAGCAGCGGGCGGCAGAGGAGGTCTACGTGCCACGCGGGACCCTCCTCCGGTGGCTGGGGAGCAGCTGGGGATCGAACCGGCGCCACACAGGCTGCGGGAAGCTTCACAACCCAGCCCTCAACCGCTGCGCCACCGGGGAGGCCCTAAATGTGCTTTTCAAGGGGATTTCAGGCTGGTTTACCTTACTAATACTCTGCAGGCTGCTAGTCTAGACTTCCTTGGGGAGGGGGGGCGGTGAAAGTGGTGTCATTACTGTCAGGTGTATTTCATATTGACAAATTTTGAAATGTAGATAAATGTATTATACTAGAGATAATGTGAGCTCTATTTATTCACAACTCATTTAGAAAGGTGACATGTCTGTGTATCACCAAACCTGCTAATGTGGAAGACGTGCCTATTTCAGTCAGTCCAACAAAATTACATGCTTTTATTTGTCAAGTATTACCCAAATTATGCTGATTGCAAAAAAAGCTGGGTTAATTTTGGCAAACATCTGAAGCACTAACAACTAATTATTATTGAGTGTAAAATACAAAGGCACTCCTCAGTGTTGGCAGCATCCCACAGGGGTGAACATGGTGTGGATGTGCGTGACGTGCTCAAGGAGTCCACACGTGAGCAGACCTGTGCGCCCTATCTGTGCTTCTCGTTAGTTTATAGACAAGGGGCCAGGGAAGTGCAAGATCTCAGGGGTCACAAGAGCACCTGGGTCCTGTGACAGGCAACCCAACGAGGCCCCAAACCTGTCCTGGGCAAGCAAGAGAGAGCCCTCCAGGAGCATTTGTGCCCCAACACGGGGCCTGTGTCCAGGTCACCAGGGGGAGGGGTCGCTTACCTGGCCACTATCCCACAGCAGCTGCTTGTGAGCAAAACTAAGGTTTGTCACCTTCATTTCTCCTAACAACAGCACCTGGAAACTGACTTTTCTGGGAGAGATGGTGAGATGATAAAATACTTGAGATGTAGGAGTAGATAGAGGGCTGTCATGTCATCTAGATAAATTACATATTTTTTAAATGGAACATATTTAATTTCTCTGTGGAGAAAGAGGAGAGAAGACAGAAAAGAAATTTTATTAGAATCTGAAAATGTCTATTTTCAATTTCACAGGTTTTGGACCATCCAGATATTATTCAAAAATCTGTTAAATATAATTGCCAGGTTTTCCATGGATGGATAGAGCATTTTATGGCTGTATCAGCAATTCCAAGGACCCAAGAGGGTTTCACAAAGAGGAGGGAAGATATTTTCTCACCCAGAAAAAGAAATAGTCCTACAAATAGTTTAAACAACAAAGGCAAATAATACCTCAGGGCGGGGGGTATAGAGCCTGACTCCAACTGTCCATATTGTCATGACTCGGTCAACAAGATTCACAAAGAATTTTGCCAAATGGGACACCAGGGTGGGCCAGAGGGCATTATGATAAGTGAAATGTGTCAGAATGAATAAGGCAAATACCACAAATTGTTGAGGTAGATAGAGAGAAATCAGATGAACAAGGAAAACAAAGTTCATCTCAAAGCAGATTGGATGTTGCCAGAAGGGCAGAGGCTGGAGGGGGTGGGTAAAAAGAGTAAAGGGGTCCCTATGGGTGGTGGACTTCTATGGAAGTTAGACTTTTGCTGGTGATGGGGATTTGTCCACAAGCTCCCCAGTACATTACTGTGCCCCTGACACGTATTTGATGTTATGAATTGGTTAATTATGTCATAGTGTCATTGGGTATTGACCTCTTAGCAGATATGTGGGAAGAACACTGATGTGGTTGGTAAAAACACTGTAAATTTTCAGTTCTATCATAAATAGGTCTGGAGGGTATAATATATAAATTATGATTGTTGTGATAGTACATGACAACATTTGTTTGGAAAGGTCCTGTTGAGTTTGATAGATGAGGTACCATGTTCCCTGACTAGAGCAGTAAACATTTAAGATGATCCCAGATTCAAATATTTTATTTTTTTATAATAATTTTTTAAATTTTTTTACATCATTGTTCATTTTTAAAGAATATTTGCTTCCTCCCACCCCCTCAGGTGTAGTCCCCATAGATTCAAAGATTTTAACAAAACATTCATAGATTCAAAAGACTTTGTAGTGCATGGGAGAAAATATTTGCTTATAAAAAAACAGACCAGGGTCAACATATAAGAGATAGAAATAACACATTCAATTTAACAATAATAAAGCAGACACTTGAATCCGTGTGTCTGTGTGACAGAGCAGCTGTGACAGAGGAGTCCCTCAGGCCATGCAGAGGCCCCTGGACACACCAGAGTGTCCCCACCTGCCCAGCCCCAGCCCACGGTGGCCTCACAGCTGCTCTGAGCTACCTGCCCAGGGCCACCTCCCAGATCATTTCTCTCCTTGCTCTGCTTCTGGCACTTGCCTGGTCCTGCCCTGACCCTGAAGACTCCCTGAGGGCATGCGTGTGTGTGTGCTTGTGCATGTGTGTGTGTTTGTGTGTATGTGTCTGTCCCCTGGCCTCAGATGAAATCTCAGGTGAGAAATTCGAATGTGATGAAAGATGTCAGAACCTACCATCCTAATAGTCACGTCAGCAGGAGGATATTTTGAGCTAAAGGCACCTGAGAAACAGCAGAAGCTGAAGACCCCGTGACTCTCCTCTTTGATCCTAAATCCAGGAGCTTGAGTTCCCCTGTGACTCTGTTCCCCAGGACCAGAAGACAAGGAACGTCCTTGTCATCTAGGCCCGGAGGGGGCAGGAGGAGCAGGTGTGCAGGCCTGGTGAAGACTCTCCTGCTGCAGCGTACTGGGTGATCTAGTGACATTCTAACACTTGTTCTCCTGTTCTCCCTAGAGTGACCATTTCTCTCTGGCTACTCTGTGACCTCCATTTCCATGTGAGGCTCCTTTGACATAAACTCCCAGGTGTGCTTCTTTCATTTCATCTTTGCTTTGGACCCCAACCCAGAGCTATGATGGGGAGTGCAAAGAAATTTCTTTACATTTTCTAGTATTTAATGTAGATTAAGAACATTTGGAGATGGACTTCCACTTGTAATTCATGGAGGTTCCTATTTCATTACATGGGTTTTACAATTTTTTTAAAAAGATTTATTTATTTATTTATACAAGCACTGGGTACAGTCACAAGCGCGGAAGGGTAAGAGAATTCACTAGAGCCAGAGCAGGGAGCAGAGCAGGCAGAAGGACCGAAGTACACTGCTGAGGGGAGCAGCGGGCGGCAGGAGAGGTCTGCGTGCCATGTGGGACCCTCCTCCGGTGGCCAGGGAGCAGCCAGGGATCGAACCGGCGCCGCAGAGGCTGCGGGCAGCTTTGCAACCCAGCGCTCAACCGCTGCACCACCGGGGAGGCCTGGGTTTTACAATTTTTTTTAAAGATTTATTTATTTTTATACAAGAGCTGGGGAACAGGCCAGAGGCGTGGGAGGGTGAGAGGATTCGCCAGAGACAGAGAGGAGAGCAGAACAGGCAGACTGATGAAATACACTGCTGAGGGGAGCAGCGGGCGCGACAGGAGAGGTCTGCTGCACCATGTGGGAATCTCGCTGTCCGGCTGGGATCGAACCTGCACTGCAGAGGCTGCGGACAGCTTCACAGTGCTGCGCTCAACCTGCTGTGCCATGGAAGGCCCTTGTTGGTGCTTATTGGTGGACAGCAAGTGTATGATTCAGATATCCAGACTCACCCTCTTCAGATGTATGTTACCACCACACACCCAGCACCAAGGTGCCACAATCCTCATCACAGTCCACTGGGCCCCTCCACCATCTGCTCCCATCCGATGATTGCCTGAATTCTACAAATTTCTGTAATTTTTTTGGGTTTGGTTTGGCTTTGTCTGTTGCTTTGTTATGTCTTTGTTTTGTTTGCTGTGTGTCTCTGTATTCCACACGTGAGTGAATAGTTCCATATTTGTCATTCCTCTTATGCCTTATTTTTCACCCATAATGCCTTCCAACCACTAAATACATAACACTGGGGTTCAGGGGTACACAGATTAATAGGTCGGAACAGGAATATTTTAGAAATGTGTCCAGGTTCCTGGAAACATTATGCACAGGAATTAAGCCAATGTCCCCATCTTTAACCATAGGACACTCAGTGATTTCGGAGAGCCCAGGAGTCCTTGTGTCAAGAAGGTGAAGACAGTTTGTGCAGCATCAGCATGAGGGGTTGCTGGCACAGGAAGGAGAAGCCTTAATTGCTGGTCCAGCCATGAAAGGTGAGGCTGAACCGGGAGATTTAGACTGCAGCCCTGTGAGCATTAGGACCAAGTGCAAGTTCTGGGGGATGGTGAGTCCCACATGGAGGGACATCTGGTCCTGCGTGTACCTTGCTATGGCGGGGAACAACCCAGGAGGTCCCACCCTGCAGAAGGCTCATGTCCCTGATTATAATGTGGCTTTTTGCAGATGCCATGCAGGTATGTGAGGAGGGCTGGTCTGTGAGATGTGGCTGGAATTTACCTAGAACCTCTTCCTTCCCTCCGGGGGTGCACCTTGTTCCTGGGTTTCATCCTGAAACCTAGATTCTCCAAACCCTCCTTCTCCCCTATCTGAGCAGGAGCATCAGCAGACAGCCTTTTGTAAAGTATATGTCTGTCATTTTTTCATGCACATGGTGGGTTATCTATTCCTGGGGTCCTCATCAGTGTCCAGACACCCGCAACTGGAGGAGGGATGGAGCTTGATGCTGACACCTTCTCATGTGCCCGCACCACTGTCACATGACCTGGGCCTGTCCTCTGAAGGGCAGGGTGTCCCCTTCCCTTGAGGATGGCACAACTGAGACCAGAGGAGGCGCCCTCTGCTGGGTCATGACATTCACAGCACAAGGACAGTGTCAGTTTGCATGTTTGTGCTTTATTGAATCAATACAAATTTTCTAGGACTTTCCATCTCATCATTGAGTGTTCACAACAGCTCAGAAATCAGCTTTTCAGGTCAGAAAATTTTGATTTAGAATTTAATGAATGATATGGGGAAGAAGGGTCACTCTAGACCACTTCAAGTTTGAGAGTAGTACTTGTTCCAGACACCGACCCCTTCTCGTACCGGCACTGGTAATTCCCAGCATCCTCCCTCTTGGTGAGCATCATGCTGAGTACGGCACCATCCTTGGACAGCGCCATATTGTTTTTGGTCTCCAGTTTGAGGCCATTGTACACCCACTGGATGCTGTAACCTCGTTCGTCTGTCAGACATATTACGTCCACACTGGTATTTTCTTTGACTTTGGATGTGTACTCCTTGAAAGAGGCGGCTGTCAATGGTTCTGTGGAGAAACAGAGTAGGTGACAAACTGAGAGGGACCTGGCATGGGGCTGCTTTCCTTCCTTAGGGCTCAGCACTCACAGGTCACATGCATCTGTCTGTTTCCACATGGTGACAGTGACCTGTGCAGCAGGTGGAGTGACCTGGTTGTGACTAGAGCAGAAGGTACCACACACACCTCACACCTGCCATGTTCCCCAAATTAGTGGACAGAAACCTATCAGGTCTCCAGATCTCTTGTTAGTATCAGTGGAGACTGCTCTCCTCACATGTCCACCACCCTCTCAGGGACAATTAATGGTCCGTGGATGTTCACATGACCTTGTCCTAGAGCTTCACAGGACTAATGCAACTGGCACTCCTTCCCCCTCTCCCCTACCATGTAGACGCCTTGGAGAGGACGGTGCCAACATGGTCTTTGTCCTTGTTGAGCAAAGGACAGTGTCAGTTAGGATGGCATGTTGCTTATGTGAAATGATTGCACAGGCAAATAGATGCCCCAGCACAGTCCTCATGACCTAAGTACATAAAGAGTGTCAATTTGAAAGAGTGCCCATTTTAAAGAGGAGTTTATTTTCTTATTCAGTGGATTAAATGTTATCAGGCAAGAAATGCCCGTAAGCTATAGTGAGAGTTTGAATAAAAGGGAATAGGAGGAAACTACAATAAGATGATAAAATGCTCAGAAGAATAGTCTACAAGAAACATCACACTCAAGGAGAAAGACGAGAGCTTTTCCTTTAATATCAGTGATAAGAGGAGGTGGCTCATAGACCAGGAGGTTGTGGACAGCTCCTTCCTAAAGTACAAGAAACAGAATGAAAGTAGGAGAAAGAGAACCCAGGCCAAAGGAAAGAGTACTTAGAATGTTCTTTGCTCCTGGTGGCATGAGTTTGTGTGTAGAATATGTTAGATTTTCCACCAATAAATTTAAAACTTCTCGTTCAACAGATTGCAGGAAAATAAATCCATACATAGAAGCACCTCTAATTCTTGATAATAGCAATGGGTTATCCAAGCAAAAACTGAGAATACAATTTTATCATAGCACCAACAGGCATGGTTTAATAACGAGTGTTCTGAGTCAAGGATGGGAATCTGTGTGCATTAGAATGTACAAAATGTTGCTAAGAGTTCGACAGGTAAAAGATGAAAAGCTGAACGTGTTAAGTTGAGAACTTCAGTAGAGTTCAGCTTCAATACAGTCCTTACCAATGCTCAGTGACCTATTTTGCAGAATTAGAGATACTCTAATGCTATCTCAAGGGACACCAAGTAGTCCGAAATGATCTCATCAGAACTTTCTGATCAAAACCCTCCAACAGAGAGCACCAGTCAGCACTATGTGCACTGACAAGACACACAGACCAATGGACCAGAACCGAGACCCTGATGGATCCGGGAGTGTCTGGTCAAATGATTGGAACAAAGGGCCGTAACCACTGTCGGGAACAATCTGTTCTTTCCCAGCTGTGAATTCCCTTCTATACCAGGGACTTTCTAGAGCTATAAGAACCCCATTCCCCCCTTTCTGGCCCTCATTGAATCCTCAGGGTCTTTTAGGATCATGTTCATGAGGAGGGCCCCAAGGCGCCATCCTGACCCTGATCCCTCTCTGCTGAGTGACTTCCCTGGATGTGTCCTTCCCTCGTATGGAGAGTCTGCAGGGTCTGGATCCCAGGAGAGGAGTCTGATTTCTCTAGTTTGTCTCCTTGTGTGTCCTGCACTAAATGCTCAAAGTCCATTGGACATAAGCAGGGGGTGATGGAGGCAGGTCCAGGCCTGCCCATCCCTGTGTGTGCGGTAGATTTACCACCCGCACCCCGAGGGCAGGGAGGGACCACTCACCTAGGATGAAGAGATAGGTGGATACAGTAACCTTTTCATAATTTACACTTATGGACTCCACGGTGTATAATCCTGTGTCTGCGATGGTGAGGTTCTTGATCTTCAGAACTCCCTTCGGGAATGTTGTATAGCGCAGTTTGTATGCTGGCCCAGGGAGGGTTTGTCCAGACTTTTCTACGTGTGTTGCAATTGTATTATTCACATTTTTATTGTTGCCTTTGAACCAGATGAAGCGCTGCACATCCTTGGGAATGCTTTTAAGCTTGTAAGTTGCATAAGGAGTGATGACATCGTTGTTCTTCTTCAATTCCAACGTGAACTCGCCATTGGTGGGCGGGACCCAGAAGATGCAGAGTGAGACTAGAAGGGAGAGAGAGAAATCAGTATTTGCACTGATATATTGGAATAGAAAGGTTCACACTGAAATTCTCAGATGTGGGGTGTGTGTGTGTGTGTCCTTTATTTTAATGATTAACATAACAAACAGTGTTTTTTGGGGTGTCCCAACTATTTGTTACTCTATTAAATACTTTGACCCAGTTATTGCTAGGTTCACCCCTTCTCTGCCTTCAGACTCCTGTTCACCCTCAGGGCATCCTTGGTAGCTGCCTCCCTGACCCCCTGCTCTGAAAACCCTCTGTCTTCACTGTGTGACCTTTCCTTGCTCTGTTCCCTTCAGGACACTTGTCAGCACCTGACAGCACATTCTAGATCTTGGTTGCCTGTCTTCTTTCCCCAGAATGTGATTGCTCCAAGTGAAGGGATTTGTTGGACCTGTTGTTCCCCCAGTGGAACCCCCAGGACCCTTTCTTGTCTGGTAATTAGCTATCAAGTTCTGAGGGTGTTGAGTAGCCAGAATTTCGTTCCCCTGGTACTTCTTTTCTGGAGTGTGTTCCTGAATCAATTGTTGATTTCAGATTTTGACATGTTCCCTCAGTGGCGAATCACATGGACCTTGTGCCTTATTCTAGACTTTCTGCCTCTCCCCTCCACACATCATGTAGCTGAGCCCCTGGTCATGATCCTAACTCATATCCCCTCCAGTCAGACTAAATGTTACTCTTCTGTCCCTGCTCAAGAACTCTTGTGCTCCTGTCCTCTTTCCTCCCAGGGGACGGCCTGGCCAGCTAGAGTCCGTGTGTTCATCTCCCACCCACCTTGGGTGCTTGTCTCTCTCACCTGCCAGCAGGAGCCCCTGCCAGGGGACTTGCCGTCTGTGTCCATGGGCTGAGGAGGCCTCCATGGCGTCTGCCACCTGCTCTGTGGTCCCTGTGAGAGAAGAGCTGTGGTTCCAGAAAGGCTCACGGGCACGGCTGCTCCTGAGTGTCAGCGCTGTGGTGCTTTCTCCACTTGGGCACAGGCCTTTTGAGGATCCTGTAGTCCAGGGGTGGGGCCTCTGCTCAGGACACTCCCTCTGCCCTGCCCTCAACGTGCCTCCCTTGTTCACTTTTGCTCCACTTAAGTCTGCATGGAGACTAGAACTGCTGAGGTGCCCGCCCTCCATGCTGTGAGCCCTGACACACATACACACACACACACACACACACACACACTCTCACACACTTATGAAACTGCTGGTATCAAGGGTAGCTTTAGCAAGCTTGACTTAAACCTGGTTAAAAGTAAACATTAAATAACCAGCAATATTTCAAAAGAAATTAATAAAAAAATTAGTATCATAATTAGTCCATTCAGTATCTGGTGGTAAATTCTTGATATCTGTTCTCATTTCTTGAGATCCGTTTTTCCATGAGTTCTGGAACTACGTCTTTAGTTCAGTTTATGATAAAACTCCATTTGTCGAATTCTGTTAAATGCCCCAAATTATTAAGACTGTAGGTGAAGGACTGATGAAATTTATTTGCAATACGATTTGACCAGGAGTTTAGGCTAGTTCTGTGATAATAATATTTAATATAGGAATTAGAATTGGAGTAATGATATTATAGCAGTGAAATTTAGGATTCTAAAGTCTTAAAATTTACAGCAAAAGCATTAACTATGTGTTCATTGAAATATAAATGAAGGTCTTCCTATTTCCTTAGTTGAACACATGAGCCCTAAAGAGTTTCTGTTTCACATATCGTATACATAATAACATACGAGGAATTCAACATTAAGATGATCTTGAACACCATTTGAATCACAGTTTTTCAACCTCTTCAATTACAGAAAGTGAACTATCTTTCTCTTTTTAACAAAACCCCTACCCAAGAATACATAGTATTTTTTTAATCCAGAAATATTTTTAATTTTTCTTGTACAGACAGTTGAATTGTTTACTATTTTTAGTAGTTTTCATTACATTTATTAATGGACATTCTTAATTTTTAATAACCTTAAATCACAGTAAGACTGCGTGGTGACAAGGATTCAACACCATCCTGTCCTCTTGGGGCCTGTTTTGCCTCTTGTTACCCACAAAAGCTTCCTGAGCCTGAGTCTGTCATTACTGTCAGGTGTATTTCATGTTGACAAATTTTGAAACTAGAGATAAATGGTTTATACACAAGAGATAACGTGAACTTAATTCACAACCCATATAGAAAAGGTGACATGTCTGGTCTGTATATAGCCTGCCCTGATTATGTAAACACATGCCCATTTCAACCTAATTACAAGTATTATCAAGTATTATCCCATTTTCTTTTTTTAAAGGTTATTTATTTTTATTAGATTTATTTATACATTTAAGCACTGGGGTACAAGCCAGAGTTGTGGGGGGGGTGGTAAAAGGACTCACCAGAGACAGCGTGGGGAACTGCACAGGCGGATTGACTGAAATACACTGAGGGGAGCAGCGGGTGAGTCAGGAGAGGTCCTCTGCACCATGTGGGTAGCTCCCTGGCCGGGGATCGAACTTGTGCTGCAGTGGCTGCAGATAGCTTCATAGATTGCGTACCAATCCCCTGTGCCACCAGGGAGGGCCCTATCCCATTTTCTTAACTGCAAAAAGCTGGAGTTAATGCAGGCAAACATCTGAAGCACTGAAATTTTAGGAATTAATATTATTAAGTGATAACATGCAAAGACAATCCTCAGTGTTGGCAGCACCCCCTGGGGGTGAACATGGCGTGGATGTACATAATGTGCTCAGGGAGTCCAGATGTGAGCAGACTTGTGTGCCCTGAGATCTGTGCTTCTCATTGTTATAGACAAGGGGCGGAGAAGTGTGACACCTCAGGGGTCACTAGGAGCACCTGGATCCTGTGACAGGCAACCCACGAGACCCCAGACCTGTCCTGGGCAAGCAAGGGAGAGCCCCTCGGGAGCATTTGTGCCCCAAGATGGGACTGTGTCCAGGTCACCAGGGAGAAGGGCCACCCACCTGGCCACTATCCCATAGCAGCTGCCATGAGGGAAACTAAAGAATGTTTTGATATTTTTCCTTTCTCCTAAGAACGTCTCCCAGAGACTGGCATTTCAAAAAAGTCGGCAGAGACTGGCATTTCAAAGTCGGATGGTCGAAATGAGAGAATATTTGAGATGTAGGAGCTATAAAGGAATGTTCCTGTCCTCTACTTGCATTACAGAATTTTAAAAAATGAAAACTATTTCTTTTCCCCCTGGGAACATAGATTAGGGGAGAAAACCAGAATTTTGTCAGGAACAGAATGTCCCTTTTCATCTTGCCATCCAGTTATTTTTGAAAATCCTTTGATATAGTTGTCAAGTTTTGCCAGGTTGAGCAGGAACGCTTCACATTAGTATCAGCAATTCAAAGGACCAGGGGTGTTTTATTAGGGGATGCATATTTTCTCCTTTGAAAATCAAGAACAAGTCCTACAAAGAGTCAAAGAATAATGGGAGAAAATACCCCTGAGGGGGGCCATACAGCCTGCATCCACCTGCCCAGTTAGTCATGGGTGTAAATCACAAGATTTACAAAGAATGTTGCATTTGGGGTGGTGATATGGACCAGAGGGAGTTATGCTAAGGGAAATACGTCAGAACAAACAAGGCAAATATCACAAAATGCGCATGGTTGAGGAAATAGAAATCAAATAGCTGGGAAAATGAAGTTTACCTCAGAGCAGATAGGAGGTGACCAGAGGGTCAGAAGTCTGCCAGGGGTGGTGAGAAGGGTAACGGTGTTCCTTGTTGGGTGGTGGATGGAAGTGAGTCTTTTGCTGGTGATGGGGATATGTCCACATAGCTCTCAGTGTATTGCTGCGCACCTCAGATGTATGTATGTTTTGAATCAATTTATGAAGTCATATTGTCATTGGGCCTTGACCTCTGCATCATGTGGGAAGAGCTGTAAGAACGAAGGGGTTGGTAAAAGCCTAAACTTTCATTATGTGATGAATAAGTCTAGAGCATTTATTATGATAAATATGTGTTGTAACTTTGATTTCTTATTCAAAAAGGAAAAGGACCCTCATTTAGTCTACTTTGAATGGAGAATATTTTAAAATCACATAGGCGTTGAACAAGAGACAGAACGAAAGTGGTCATGTGGTAGAGTGTGCATTGCTCCTGGCTTATTGCTGACACCCCAGGAATGGCATCCTCAGTGCATGGACAGCACTTGTTTGTGAATGTCCTGAAATTTTGACTGATGAGTCACCATGTTCTCTGACAATATATATAGTATAAACCAACAGTAATTACAGAAAATCATTGTTTGGATGAATAGACACAGGGTTTCATGGAACTTAATCCACTCCAGAGTTTATTGCATATCTACCAACAATTTATTTATAATGAAGGAGCCATGAGCTTAGTCAGAGGGCCTAGAGTCATTTGACAATGGTGTGGGGAACCTGGGGAGGCCACAAGGAAAGAATGAAGGTGGATCATGCTGCACTCAAGCTGAAATCAAATTCAAAATGGATTAAGGCTGCATGTGGATTATGATGGATTAAGAAACACACATAAGAAAGATAGGGACGTGTGTCATGGCATCAGTGATGAACATGCCTTTGTAGACTGGGCTCTGGAGCAGGGGAAACAGAAGGAGGAGTGAGCATTTAAGATAACCCTAAATTGAAAGATTTTAACAGAAAGCATTCATAGATTCGAAAGTCTTTCTAGTGCTTGGGAGAAAATAATTGCTTAATAAAAACAGGCTAGGGACTAATAAATATGGGATGTAAATAAGACATTCAATTTAACAATAATCTAGTGGATACTTGAAACCTGAACGGGAGCCACTGTGACAGAGGAGTCCCCCCACCACAGTGTCTATTTGCAGAGGCCCCTGGACACACCACAGTGTCCCCACCTGCCCTGCCCCAGGCCTCTGCATCCCCACAGTCACTCTGAGCTGCCTGCTCTGGGGCTACCTCCCGGATCCTTCCCTCTTCTAGCTCTGCTCTGGTGCCTGCCTAGCACTGCCCTGACCCTAGAGACCCTGAGGGTGTGTGTGTGTGTGTGTGTGTGTGTGTGTCTGTCCTGCTCTCAGGTGGAATCTCAGGTGAAGAAATTGAATGTGGTGAAAGGTGGCAGAACCTGCCATCCTAATAAGCCACATCAGCCAGAGGGTTATTTTGAGCGAAAGGCACCTGAGAAACAGCAGAAACTGACTCTCCTCTTCTTTGATCGTAAATCCAGGAGTTGAATTTCTCTGTGACACTTCCCCAGGACCAGAAGAAAATAGTCATCACCATCCAGGCCCGGAAGTGGAATAAGGAAAAAGGATGGAAGCTTTGTGAAAAAAATTTACCAGCTCTAGTTTCCCAGGTGATTTAGTGACATTCTGACACTTGCTCTCCCTGTTCTCCATAGAGTGACCATTTCACTGTGGCTACTTCATGATCTCCATTTTCACAAGAGGCTCCTTTGACATAAATTCACAGCTGTGCTTCTCTTCATTTCATGTTTGCTTCTGGCCCCAGCCCCAAGCTACGATGGGAAATAGAGTTTTCTTCCTTTCCAGTCATTTTCCAATATTTATTTTAAAGGAAGGACACATGGAGAAGGACTGCTGCTGCTAACTTTTTGTGCTTCACTCATTAACTCATGGGATATACCTATATTGTTTTTCTTCTATTTATTTATCTATGTATATATTTTACATCATTCTTCCTTTTTGTATTATGTATGCTTTCTCTTCTCAGCTGTAGTCCTCATAAAATTCCCATCACCAAACCACCTGAGCACCATCATCGTATCCTTTGTGCACTTCCCTCCCCTGTTTTGATCCCTCTTACACCAGTGAGAATAGCACATATTAAAAAAACTGGAAGCAACAAATGTTGGCAAGGATGTGGACAAAATGGAACTCTCCTCCACTGCTGGTGGGAGTGCACACTGGTCCAACCACTATGAAAAGCTGTGTGGAGGTTCTTCAAATGCTCAAAATGGAGCTTCCATAGGACTCATCAATTCCACTGCTAGGGATCTACCCAAAGGACACAAATACATTAATTAAAAATGTGTTTTGAATTATGTTTATTGCAGTACTATTTACAATAGTTAATAAGGAAACAACCCAATTGCCCAAAAACAGATGACTGGATTAGGAAAATGAGGTATATCTCTATTATTTTTATTGACATTGTATTGGTGGACAGCATGTATATGATTCAGAAATTCAGACTTACCCTCTTCAGACGTATGTTACCACCACATACCCAGAACCAAGATGTCACAATCCTCCACCACAGTCAACTGAGCCCCTCCAACGTCTGCTCCCATCCGATGATTGCCTGAATTCTACAAATTTATGTAATTTTTTGGGTTTGGTTTGGCTTTCTTTGTCACTTTGGTATGTCTGTTTTGTTTGCTATGTGTCTCTGTATTCCACACGTGAGTGAATAGTTCCCATATTTGTCATTTATGCCTTATTTCTCACCCATAATGCCTTCCAACCACTAAATACATAACACTGGGGTTTAGGGGTACACAGATCAATAGGTCTGAACAGGAATATTTTAGAGATATGTCCATGTTCTTGGAAAAATTAAGCATAGGAATTAAACCAATGACCCCATCTTCAACTGTAGGACACTCTCAGTGATTTCGGAGAACCCAGGAGTCCTTGTGTCAAGAAGGTGAAGACAATTCATGCAGCATCACGATGAGGGTTGCTGGTACAGGAAGGAGAAGCCTCAGGTGCTGGTCCAGCCATGGAAGGTGAGGCTGTCCCAGGAGATTCAGACTGCAGCCCCGTGAGCATTAGGACCAAGTGCATGTTCTGGGGGATGGTGAGTCCCACATGGAGGGACATCTGGTCCTGCGTGTACATTGCTATGATGGGGAACAGCCCAGGAGGTCCCACCCTGCAGAAGACTCATGTCCCTGATTATAATGTGGTCTTTGGCAGATGCCATGCAGGTGTGTGAGGAGGGCTGGACCTTACCTAGAGCCTCTTCTTTCCCTCTGGGGGTGCAACTTGTTCCTGGGTTTCATCCTGAAACCTGGATTCTCCAAACCTTCCTTCTCCCCTATCTGAGCAGGAGCATCAGCAGGCAGACAGCATTTTGTAAAGTGCATGTCTATCATGTTTTCATGCACATGGAGTACAATCTATTCCCAGGGTCCACTTAGGGTCCAGACACTCCCACATCCCCTGGAGGAGGGATAGAGCTGTGATGCTGACAGCTTCTCATGTGTCCCCACCATTGTCCCATGACCTAGGCCTGTCCTCTGAGGGACAGGGTGTCCCCTCCCCTGTGGAGATGGTACAACTGAGACCAGAGGAGGTGCCTCTGCTGAGCTGTGACATTCACTCACTACCACAATATCATTTGCCTTTTTGTAATTTATTGAATCAGTATAAATCTTGAGGACTTATCATCCTCATAATTGAGTTTACCCAGGTGCTCAGGAAACTGATTTTCAGGTCAGAAAATTTTGATTTAGAATTTAATGAATGATTTGAAGGAAGAGGGGTCACTCTACAACCACTTCAAGTTTGAGGATAGTACTTGTTCCAGACACCGACCCCTTCTCGTACCAGCACTGGTAATTCCCAGCATCCTTCCTCTTGGTGAGCGTCATGCTGAGTACAGCGCGGTCCATGGACAGTGTCGTATTGTTTTGGGACTCCAGTTTGAGGCCATTGTACACCCACTGGATGCTGTAACCTTGTTCACCTGTCAGACATATTATGTCCACACTGGTGTCTTCTCGGACTCTGGATATGCGATCCTCAGCAGAGGCACCTATCAATGGTTCTGTGGAGAAACAGAGCAAGTGACAAACTGAGAGGGACCTGGTCTGGGGTCTCCCTCCTTCTTTAGGGCTCAGCACTCACAGGTCACATGCGTCTGTCTGTTTCCACATGGTGACAGTGACCTCTGCAGCAGGTGGAGTGACCTTGCTGGTAACTAGAGCAGAAGGCACCACACATACCCCATACCTGCCATGCTTCCCAAATTAGTGGGGAAATTTGGAAACCCAGCAAGTCCCCCAGATCTCTTGTTAGTATCAGTACAGGCTGCTCTCCTCACATGTCCAACACCCTCTCAGGGGCAATTAATGGTCCATGGATGTTCACATGACCTTGTCCTAGAGCTACATGGGACTAATGCAACAGGCACTCCTCCCACCCCCATATAGACTCCATGGAGAGGATGGTGCAACATTGTCCCCTAATTGAAAAGCTACGCAGAGTGCCCAGTCAGCTCCACGTGCACCAACAATACACACAGACCAATGGACTAGAACAGAGACCCTGATGGACTGGGAGTATCTGGTCAAATGTTCTCACAAGATGCCATAAACACCTTAACTTGGTGTTGGTAACCTGGATATCACATGCAAAGATATGAAGTAAAATAAGTCAGCATAGATCAATTTTCTACATGTAAGATTCATGAAAAGTAGTGATAGACCAGGCATTTCCCAGAATGGGTGTCATGATTTGTGAATCATTTAACTGATAAGTGACTAATACCCAGAATATAGAGAGACGTCCTGCAATTCATGTGATAGAAGTGCCACACTTTCAAGGCCCTTTCTCCTTTTCTAGCTGTAATTTTCCTCCTATATTTGGGAATTTCTAGAGATGCAAGAACCCCCTCTCCACACTCCATGCTAGACACCAGGCCCACCATGAAAACCAGAGAAATAAGGTGAGGAGGAGAATCCAGGATATGGAATGTGACTGAAGGCCTGACTTGAGCTGGGGTTTGGGCAGAAGTTACTCTCAGGGAGACCAGGAGCTTCCAGAAAGTCAGTTTGGAAATGAGGCTGCAAGGTCATGAGCTGGCAGTTGTGCCCAATTGTTCAGTGGTGGTCAGAGTCCCAGGAAGGGTCTAGAAAGAGTGAGGGACAGTCAGGCCCTGGCTGGCTTGTGAGCTGCCTCCTGTTCTCTGTCTTTGGGCTTCATTGTCTCAGCTCCCACTGCTGAGGGCAGCTGAGGCCCCTGCCGGTCTCTCCTGAATCCTCACCAGAGCAGAGATACAGAGGAGGACTTGTGGACAGTGAGGACAGGAACTTGCTGAAAGTGTGGCCTCAGGGAATAAGAAATTGAGAGGAATATGTGGAAGTAGTTAAAATAAGCCAAGATCAAAGAGTGCTTTATGTAGAAATATGTCTCTAACCATCTAAGTCCTTAGTAAGATCATATTCCAACCATGATTGCTTCAAATCAAAGAAGTGCAAAAGCAGTTTTAAACCAGTGACTCCCTGGGTAGAGAGACAGGTGCTTCTGTTAAAAGGAAAAAGGGTCAGAGGGATAGAGGCTCATCTCTGCTCCATAAGCGAGAAATGGCTCTAATCTGTTGTGTCAGTACATTTAGGGTGGAGTCTGTGTCACTGGCTCTGTGGACGACAGTCAGGAATGGGGAGGAGACCCCACCTGGCCTGTGACGGGCTTTCTTCTCGTCTGTTGTCTTTGGAATCACGGCTAGATTTGATCAAGTCCTGCCAGTGGGCAGCGTTTGAGGGAAAGGACAGTGGCTGGGGGAGGTCAGCGTCTAGAGCACCCACAGGAAGGTGTCCTCACAAGATGCAGCCAGCGAGAGATAAAGGCAGGCAGAGAGGATGGGTGGGGGAAAGCAACCCCGCCCTGGGGAGGTTTCCGGGCCACTGGGGAGAATGGAGCTTTAAGCCCTGGCAGGAAGGAGTCAGGAGTGAAGCGGGTGGGGATGCAATGAGGTTTGGGGCCTGCAGACCCATCCTTGGTCCTCACTCCTGGGAAAGTCATGTAGAGAGTAGATCTAGGGTCTGCTCACCACCCTGTGACCCTGTGTCTGTGTTGGCCTCACAAAGGGAAGATGTGTCAGAGGAGAGCAAGAGAACAAAGGATGTTCCGTTGAAACCACGTGGTCTGTGATGGAGAGAGACAGGGCTCTGCTCCACGGGTGCTGGTGCCTGCCTTTGGCCCAACAGTTTATACCTGGCCCCAGTGTGAGGGGAGTGTCTGAAGACTATGACAGGAAGCTGTGCAGAGCAGAGGCAGCGCTGCCTGAGGGAGGAGAGATGAAGGGCGGGAAAGGGAAGAGCAGAGAGAGAAGACAGGTCCCTGGTGTTGAGCGAGCAGGTTACAAGTGACCCCAAACTCGCAAAGCCCAGAGCTATGGGGCAGCCCCAGAGCAGGGCCAGGACAGCCTGACACTCCCACTGCCCAGCAACCCTGCAGTTACCAGGACAAGTTCTCCCAAGGTGCTGTGTGGCAGGAGGTCAGAGGATGGACATGGTCCCAGCCCTGGGGAGGCAGAATACGGTTGCTAGAGCCTCTCTGGACTCTGCATGCAGGGTCTGTCTCTGAGGGGATGAGAATCCCTCATTCTTCACTCTCCACTCTGTCCTCTCTCCTGTGGATAAGAGCATCTGAGCTTTGTTCCCTGTGGGCCTGGCTATTTGTAGGTGGAATGTGGGGATTGAGAAGAAATTTCATTTGTTTTATTTTTCAGTGGGAGTGACCCCTACACATCAGGACACCTATGAGTGATTTAAATCCGTTACAGGGAGGGGTCACTGGGTCACTGAGATGGAGGCCTGGGCATCCCCAGCACTGACTCTGATTGTTGCTGCAGTACATTTATTCCAGAGTCAACATGGGTGATGTTCTGTTTCTTCTGAACCCCCAGACCTGACTCAGATCTGGAAGCTGGATGCCCTCAGGACAATGACTCTGAACAATGGCTGGTGTCAGGGAGCCCAGAGAAGCCCTAGGGTGAAGGAGGCAGGTCAGTGACTGCAGATGATCTTGGGGTGACTCTGATCTTGTGGTCTCTGTGACTCTGACTCAGTGTCTCTATCTCCTGGAACTCATGACCCTCAGTAACTAGGTAAGTGTTAATTACCTTAGTCTTTCCTGCTGTGTGTGAATTAATTTAAATCATTGATAACTGATTAAGTTTATACACAGGATTGTCCAGTGAATGGCGTCTGTCATCACTTGTCTCCTTCAGAGGTTCCCAGGTGGTCCCTGGTAGACAAGCACCTGTCAGGGTCAGCTTTTCCCTCTGTCCCTGCCTGGCAACTGAACGACCTCTTTTCCCACAACCCTCCTGACTGGTTACTAATGGCCTCAGATGTTGTCCTGTCTCCACACTGAGTGTCAGACAAAGCCCAGGCTCTGTCCTCTTCCCCTGTTGCCTTTGGGGATGACCATGGCTCATGACTTGGTCCTGCCATCACTTGCCCAAGAGGCCAACGCCACAGGGACACAGGCTCCCTGGTCCCTGGGTCTGGGTTCCTGGGATGGGGGTTGGGCAAGGATTGATATGAGTGGAGGTTTTCTGTGGGAATTCCAGGTGTCCCTCATGCAGGCCCTGACTGAATCCTCAGGGTCTTTCTACAGTCAGGGCCATGGGGACGAGCCTAAAAGTCACCCTGACCCTGATCCCCCTCTGCTGAGTGACTCCCCTGGATGTGTCCTTCCCTCTGCATGGAGAGTCTATAGGGCCTGGACCCCAGGAGAGGAGTCTGATGTCCAGTTCATCTGCCTTTGGGTGTCCTGCACTAAATGCTGAAACCCCATTCGGGACATAAGCGGAGGTGCATGGAGGCAGATCCTGGCCTGTCCGTCCCTGTGTGTGCCGTAGAGTCACCACCCGCACCCTGAGGACAGGAGGGACCACTCACCTAGGATGAAGAGATGTGCAGATTGAATAACCTTTGCCCTGTTTAAGCTTATGCTCTTCACAATGTATAATCCTGTGTCTTTCCTGGTGGGCTTCCTGATCTTCAGAACTCCCTTCGGGTTTATTATGTAGCGCAGTTTGTATGCTGGACCATAGATGGTTACTGCTGGATTTTCTACGTGTATTGCAATTATATTATCCACTTTTCTGTCACCTGTGAACCAGATGAAGTGGTGCACATCCTTGGGAATGTTTTTAAATTGGTAAATCGCATAAGGAATGATGGCACCTTTTTGCTTCTTTAATTCCAACGTGAATCCACCATTGGTTGGCAGGACCCAGAAGATGAAAAGTGAGACTAGAAGGGAGAGAGAGAAATCAGTCACTGATATATTGGGATAGAAAGGCTCATATCGAAATTCTCAGATGTGGGGTGTGTGTGTGTGTTCTGTATTTTAATGATTAACATGATGTTTTTCAGTGTGTTCAAACTATTGTTGCTCTTTAAAATGCTTTGACTGAGTTATTGCCAGGCTCACCCCCTCCCTGCCCTCAAAGCCTGCCCACCCCCAAGGAGTACTTGAGAGATGCCTCTCAGACCCCCTGCTCTGAAGAGTCTCTGTGCCCACTGTGTGACTTTTCCCTGCTCTGTGCCCTTCAGGACACTTGTTATCACCTGACAGCACATTCTAGATCTTGGTTGCCTGTCTTTCTCTCCAAGAATGTGATTGCCCTGAGTGCAGGGACTTGTCTCCTCAGTGGTTTCCCAGTGCCCCTTCTTGTCTGGTAATTAGCTATCAAGTTGTGAGGCTGGTGAGCGTAGCCAGTGCTTATTGCCCTGGTACTTCTTTTCTGGAGTGTGGTCCTGAATAAATTGTTGACTTCAGACTTTGAGATGTATCCCTTCCAGTCAGACTGAATGTTAGTCCTCTGTCCTGCTAAAGGACTACTGTGCTTCTGTCCTTTTTCCTCCCAGAGGACACTAGCGTGTCCAACTAGTGTCTATGTGTCCATCCCCCACCCACCTTGGGTACTTGTCCCTCTCACCTGCCAGCAGGAGCCCCTGCCAGGGGACTCGCCGGCTGTGTCCCTGGGCTGAGAGAGCCTCCATGGTGTCGGCCACCTCCTCTGTGTTCCCAGTGAGAGAAGAGCCTGGGCTCCAGAAAGGCTCACGGACACGGCTGCTCCTGAGTGTCAGTGCTGAGGTGCTTCCTCTGTGCCGAGCCTCCTCCGGGGCAAGGAATTTTGAGGGTCCTATTGTCCAGGGGTGGTGTCTCTGCCCCGGGCCCTCCCTCTGCCCTCCCCTCATCCTGACTCCCTTGTTCACTTTTGCCCCACTTCGGTCTGCATGGAGCTAGAACTGCTGAGGTGCCTGCCCCCATGCTGTGAGTCCTAACCTGCATACATGCATACACCCCCCCCCCACTGTTATGAAACTGCTGGTATCAAGGGTAGCTTTAGCAAGCTTGACTTAAATCTGGTTAAAAGTAAACATTAAACAACCAGCAATATTTCAAATGAAATTCATCAAAAATTTAAAATCATAATTAGTCCAGTGTCTGGTAGTGAATTCTTGATATCTGTTCTCATTTCTTGAGATCCATTTTTCCATGAGTTCTGGAACTACTTCTTCAGTTCAGTTCATGATAAAACTCTATTGTCAAGTATTTGTCAAATTCTGTTAAGTGCCCAAAATTGTTAGGTACCATATGTGAAGGACTGATGAAATTTATTTGCAATACAATTTGACCGGGAGTGTTTCTGTGATAATAATGTTTAATACAGGAATTAGAATTAGAGTAATAGTATTACTGCAGTGAAATTTAGGATTGTAGAGTGTTAAAATGTACATCATTGGCATTAACTATGTATTCCCTGAAATATAAATGAAGAAGGTCTTTCTATTTTCATGTTGTTGAACATACATAAACCCTAAAGAATTTCTGTTTTACATATTGTATACATAATAACATATGAGGGATTCAACATTAAGATGATCTTGGACACCATTTGAATCACAATTTTTCAACCTCTTCAATTATACAAAGTGAAGTATCTCTTTTTAACAAAACCCCTACCCAAGAATACATAGTATTTTTATCCAGAAATATTTTTAATTTTTCTTAAACAGAGTGGTAAATTTGTTAACTATTTTTAGTAGTTTTCATTACATTTATTAATGGAAATTCTTAATTTTTAATAACCTTAAATCACAGTAAGACTACGTGGTGACAAGGATTCAACACCATCCTGTCCTCTTGGGGACTGTTGTGTCTCTTGTTACCCACAAAAGCTTCCTGAGCCTGGGTCTGTCATTACTGTCAGGTGTATTTCATGTTGATAGATTTTGAAACGAGAGATAAATGGTTTATACAAGAGATAATGTGAGCTCTATTTATTCACAGCCCATGTATAAAGGTGATGTGTCTGGTCTGTATATAGCCAGCCCTGATAATGCAAACACATGCCCATTTCAACAAATTTATATGCTTTCATTTGTCAAGTATTACCCCAGTTTTCTTAACTGCAAAAAGCTGGAGTTAATATAGGCAAACATCTGAAGCACTGAAGAATTAGGAATTAATTATTATTGATTCTAAAATGCAAAGACAGTCCTCAGTGTTGGCAGTACCCAACATGCGTGACATGCTCAGGGAATCCACATGTGAGCAGACCCGTGTGCCCTGAGATCTGTGCTTCTCATTAGTTTATAGACAAGGGGCTGGGGAAGTGCAAGATCTCAGGGGTCACCTAAGAGCACCCGGGTCCTGTGACAGGCAACCCCACAAGGCCCCAGACCTGTCACGAGACTGTGTCTAGGTCACCAGGAGAAAGGCTACCCTTCTGGCCACTATCCCACAGCAGCTGCTCAGAGGAAAACTATAGAATGTTTCTGCATTTTTCCTTTCTCCTAAGAATATCTTCCAGAGACTGGCATTTCAAAGTCAGATGGTTGAAATGAGAGAATATTTGAGATGTAGGAGATATAAAGGGCTGCTCCTGTCCTCTACATGCATTACAGAATTTTCTAAAATGGAAAGTATTTCTTTTCCCCCTGGGGACATATATTAGGGAATAAAACCAGAGTTTTATCAGGAACAGAATGTCCCTTTTCATCTTGCCGTTCAGTTATTTTTGAAAATCCTTTAGAAGTAATTTTCAAGATTTGTCAGGTCAAGCAGGAATGCTTCACATCAGTATCAGCAATTCCAAGGACCAAAAGTGTTTCACTAGGGGATGCAAATTTTATCCTTTGAAGATCCAGAACAAGTCCTACAAAGAGTCGAAGAATAAAGGGAGAAAAATACTCCTGATGATGGGCCATACGGCCTGCATCCACCTGCCCAGTTGGCCATGAATGTTCACAAGATTTACAAAGCATGTTGCATTTGGGGCACTGATATGGACCAGAGGGAGTTATGCTAAGGGAAATATGTCAGAACAACTAAGGCAAATACCACAAAATGTACATGGTTGAGGAAATAGAGATCAAGTAACTGGGAAAGCAAAGTTCACTTCAGAGCAGATTGGAGGTGACCAGAGGGTCAGTTATGTGATGAATAAGTCTGATAGTCTAGTGTTTAATATGATAATTATTATGATAATTATGTGTTGTAACTTTGATTTCTAATTCAAAGAGGAAAAGGACTCATTTACTCTACTTATGAATGAAGAACATTTAAAGTCACTTAAGGGTTGAACAGAGACACAACAAAAGTGGTCATGTGGTAGAGTGTGTATTGCTCCTGGCTTATTACTGACACTCCATGAATGGGCATCCTCAGTGCATGACAACACTTGTTGTGAAAGTCCTGAAGATTGTGATTGATGAGACACCGTGCTCCCTGACTATATATAGTACGAAACAACAATAATTATGGAAAATCATTTTTGGATGAATAGAAATTAATCCACAGCCAGAGTTTATTGTATATTTTCCAACAATTTATAATGAAGGAGCCATGAGCTTAATATGAGGGCCTAGAGTCCTTTGACAATGGTGCGGGGAACCTGGAGGCCACAGGGAAAGAATGAAGGTGGATCGTGCTCCACTCAAGCTGCAATCAAATTCAAAATGGAATAAGGCTGTAGATCTAAGACCTTCCACAATAAAACACACATCAGAAAGATGGGGACGTGTGTCATGGCATCAGTGATGAACGTGCCTTTGTAGACTGGGCTCTGGAGCAGGGGAAACAGAAGGAAGAGTGAGCATTTAAGGTAACCCTAAATTGAAAGATTTTAACAGAAAGCATTCATAAATTCAAAAGTTTTCCTAGTGCTTGGGAGAAAATATTTGTTTAATAGAAACAGACCAGGGGCTAATATGGGATGTAAATAAGACGTTCAATTTAACAATAATCCAGTGGACATTTGAAACCTGAATGGGAGTCCCTATGACAGAGGAGTCCCCCCAACACAGTGTCTATTTGCAGAGGCCCCTGGACACACCACAGTGTCCCCACCTGCCCTGCCCCAGGCCCCTGCATCCCCACAGCCACTCTGACCTGCCTGCCCTGGGGCCATCTTCCAGATCTTTCCCTCTCCTTGTCTGCTCCTGATACCTGCCTGGTACTTCCTTGACCATGGAGACCCCCTGAGGGTGTGTGTGTGTCCTGCCCTCAGTTGGAATCTCAGGAGGATTATTTTGAGCTAAAGGCACCTGAGAAACAGCAGAAGCTAAAGGCCCTGTGACTCTCCTCTTCTTTGATCCTAAATCCAAGAGCTTGAGTTCCTCTGTGACACTGTTCCCTAGACAGAAGACAAGGAAGGTCCTCATTAACCTAGCATGTAGGTGGGAAGAGAGGAAAGTGTGCAGGCCTGGTGAAGACTCCCCTGCTGTAGCTTTCTAGGTGATCTAGTGACATTCCAACACTTGACTCCTTGTTCTCCCTAGAGTGGCCATTTCACTGTGGCTACTCCATGACCTCCATTTCCATGTGAGGCTCATAAACTCATAGTTGTGCTTCTCTCATTTCATCTTTGATTCACATCCCAGCCCAGACAGCTCCATGTGCTGATCCATCCGTGGAAGGTGAGGCTATCCCAGGAGATTCAGACTGCAGCCCTGTGAGCACTAGGACTGAGTACATGTTCTGGGGTGATGGTGATTCCCACGTGGAGGGACATCTGGTCCTGCGTGTACATTGCTATGTGGGGAGCAGTGCAGGAGGCCCCTACCCTGCAGAAGGCTCATATCCCTGATTATAATGTGGCCTTTAGCAGATGCCATGCAGGTGTGTGAGGAGGGCTGGTCTCTGGAGATGTGGCTGGAACTTACCTAGAACCTCTCCTTTCCCACATGTGTGCACCTTGTCCCGGGTTTTATCCTGAAACATGGATTCTCTAAACCCTCCTTCCTTCTGTCCTTCTTGAGCAGGAGCATCACAGACAGCATGGCATATCTTTATGTTTTCATGCACATGGGGGGTTATCTATTCCTGGGGTCCTCATCAGTGTCCAGATACCTCCATGTCCCTGGAGAAGGGATAGAGCTGTGATGCTGACAGCTTCTCATGTGCCCCCACCACTGTCACATGACCTGGGCCTGTGCTTTGAGGGACCTGGTGTTCCCTCCCCTACGGAGATTGCATAACTGAGACCAGAATAGGCCCCTCTGCTGGACTGTGACAGTCACTGCACAACGACAAGGTCAGTTTTCATGTTTGTGCTTTATTGGCTCAACACGAGTCTTCTAGGACTTTCCTTCCCCGATATTGAGTGTTTACAACAGCTTAGGAAACAGCTTTTCAGGTCAGAAAATTTTGATTTAGAATTTAATGAAAGATATGGGGAAGAAGGGTCACTCTAGACCACTTCAAGTTTGAGGGTAGTACTTGTTCCAGACACCGACCCCTTCTTGTACTGGCACTGGTAATTCCCAGCATCCTCCCTCTTGGTGAGCGTCATGCTGAGTACAGCGCGGTCCTTGGACAGTGTCATATTGCTTTTGGGCTCCAGATTGAGGCCATTGTACACCCAATGGATGCTGTAACCTCGTTCACCTGTCAGACATATTATGTCCACACTGATATTTTCTTGGACTCTGGATATGTGATCCTCAACAGAGGCGGCTGTCAATGGTTCTGTGGAGAAACAGAGCAGGTGGAAAACTGAGAGAGGCTCCTTCCTGAGAGCTCATCACCCACAGGTCACATGCGTCTGTCTGTCTCCACATGGTGACAGTGACCTGTGCAGCAGGTGGAGTGACATTGGTGATTAGAGCAGAAGGTGCCACCCACACTCCCCAAATTAGGGGCCAGCAACCTATCAGGTTGCCAGATCTCTTGTTAGTATCAGCAGAGGCTGCTCTCCTCACATGTCCACCACCCTCTCAGGGGCAATTAATCGTCTATGGATGGTCACGTGACCTTGTTCTAGAGCTTCATGGGACTAATGCCAGGCATCCCTCCCTCATGTAGATGCCATGGAGAGGACAGTGTCAACACTGTCTTGTTCTCATTGCACAAAGGACAGTGTCACAGTTAGGATGGCGTGTAGCTTATGTGAAATGATTAGACAAGCAAACAGATGCCCCAGCACAGTCCTCATCATCTCAGTACATAAAGAGGATCTATTTGAATGAGTGCCCATTTTAAAGAGGGGTTTATTTTCTCATTCAGTGGATTAAATGTTATCAGGCAAGAAATGTCTCTTAGCTATAGTGAGAGTTTGAATAAAAGGTGTAGGAGGAAACTACTGCAAGATTATAAATTAGTGTACAGGTGACTAATTTAGAAAAGCCTACAAGAAATGTCACACTCAATGGAGAAAGAGCCAGAGCTTTCCCTTTAATATCAGCAATAAAAGGAGGAGACTCATAGGCCAGGAGGTTGTGGCCAGTTTCTTCCTAAAGTACAAGAAACAGAATGAAAGTAGGAGAAGGAAAACCCAGGCCAAAGAAAAGAGGACCTAGAATGTTCTTTGTTTCTGGTGGCATGATTTTGTGTGTAGAATATGTTAGATTTTCCACCAATAAATTTAAAACTTCTCAGTTTAACAGGTTGCAGGAAAATAAATCCATACATAGAAGCACCTCTAATTCTCAATAATGGCTATCCAAAAAAACCTGAGACTACAGTTACTTTTATCATAACACCGGCAGGCATAGTACAATCATGAGTATACTGAGTCAAGGATGGGAATCTGTGTGTATTAGAATGTACAAAATGTTGCTGAGAGTTTGACAGACAAAAGATGAAAAGCAACCCATTTCAAATTTCATGAATTTGAAAGCTGAAAATGTTGAGAACTTCAGTAGAGTTCAGTTTCAATACAATCCTTACCAACACTCAATGACCTACTTTGCAGAATTAGAGATACCCTAATGCAATCTCAAGGGACACCAAGTAGCCCCAAATGATCTTATATAACAACAAAGTGGCAGAACTTTTGGCTGAAAATCTAGGATAGAGAGCACCAGTCAGCACCATGTGCCCTGACAAGAGACACAGACCAAACCAGCAGAGACCCAGATGGATCCAGGAGTATCTGGTCAAATGTTTCTCACAAGGGGGCCATAACCACTGCCAGGGAACAATCTCTCCTTAAATTGGTGTTGGGAACCCGGATATTACATGCAAAGAAATGAGTAAAGTAAGGCAGCGTAGATCAATTTTCTACATGTAAGATTCACAAAAAGAAATGATAGAGCAGGCATTTCCCAGATCGGGTGTGATGATTTGTAAATAATTTAACTGATAAGGACTAATACCCAGAACACACAGAAGTGCCTTCAGGGTCCTTTCTCCTTTTCCAGCTTCAATTCCCCTCCCAGATTTGGGACTTTCTAGAGCTGCAAAAACCGCCATCCCCACACTCCATGCTGGACACCAGGCCCACCATGAAAACCAGAGAAATAAGGAAAGGAGGAGAATCCAGGATGTGGAATGTGACTAAAGGCCTGGCTTGAGCTGGGGTTTGGGCAGAAGTTACTCTCAGGGAGACCAGGAGCTTCCTGAAGGTCAGTTTGGAAATGAGGCTGCAGGGTCATGAGCTGGCAGTTGTGCCCAAGTGTTCAGTGGTGGTCAGAGTCCCAGGAAGGGACTGAAAAGAGAGGAACAGGCAGACCCTGGCTGGCTTGTGAGCTGCCTCCTGTTCTCTGTCCTTGGACTTTTCATTGTCTCAGCTCCCACTGCTGTGGGCAGTTGAGGCCCCTGCCAGTCCCTCCTGAATCCTCACCAGAGCGGAGATACAGAGGAGGACTTGTGGACAGCGAGGGCAGGAACTTGCTGAAAGTGTGGCCTCAGGGAGTAAGTAATTGAGAGGAATATGTGGAAGTAGTTAAAATAAGCCAAGATCAAAGAGTGCTTAGTTTAAAAATATGTCTCTAATAACAATCAATTTCCTTAGTGAAATCCACATTCAAACCATGTTTGCTTTAAATCAAAAGAAGAGCAAAAGTGGTTTCAAACCAGTGACTCCCTGGGTAGAGAGACAGGTGCTTCTGTTAAAAGGACAAAGTGTCAAGAGATAGAGATGCATCTCTGCTCCGTAAGCAAGAAATGTTGTGTCATACATGTAGGGCGGAGTCCCTGTCACCGGCTGGCTCTGTGGACAGTCAGGAATGGGGAGGAGACCCCACCTGGCCTGTGATGGGCTTGCTTCTAGTCTGCTGTCTTTGGAATCATGGCTAGATTGGATCAAGTCCTACCATTGAGGGAAAGAACAGTGGCTGGAAGAGGTCAGCATCTAGATCACCCACACAAAGGTGTCCTCAGAGGTGCAGCAAGCGTGAGGTACAGACAGAGAGGACAGGGATGTGTAATCCCACCCTTGGGAGGTCTTGGGGGCACTGGGGAGAATGGAGCTTCAAACACTTGTAGGAAGGGAGTCAGGAGTGAAGGGTCTCTCTATCTCCTGGAACTCATGACCCTCAATAACTAGGTGAGTGTTAATCATCTCAGACCCTCCTGCTGTGTGTGACTTAACCTAAATCATTGATAACTGATTAAGTTTGTACACAGGACTGTCCAGTGAATGGCATCTGTCATCACTTGCCTCCTTCAGAGGCTCCCAGGTGGTCCCTGGTGGACAAGCACCTGCCAGGGTCAGCTTTTCCTCTTGTCCCTGCCTGGGGACACTTAACATCCTCTTGTAACTCCACAGCCCCCTTGGCTGTGGGTTAATGGCCTCAGATGTTGTCATGTCTCTGTACTGAGTATCATACAAAGCCCAGGCTCTGGCCTGTTCCCCTGTGGCCTTTGTGACTGAGCCCTGGCTGGTGACTTGGTCCTGCCATCACTTGCCTAGGAGGCCAACACCACAGGGGCACAGGCTCCCCGGTAACTGGGTCTGGGTTCCTGGGACAGGGGTTGTTCAAGGATTTTAGGAGTGGAGATTTTCTGTGGGGGTCCCAGGGATCCCTCATTCAGTCCTTGACTAACCCTCAGGGTCTTTCTAAGTTCATGGCCATGGGGCGGGGCCTAGAAGTCACCCTGACCCTGATCCCCCTATGCTGAGTGACTTCCCTGGATGTGTCTTTCCCTCTGCATGGAGAGTCTGCAGGGTCTGGATCCCAGGAGAGGAGTCTGATTTCTCCATTTCATTCCCTTTGTGTGCCCTGCACTAAATGCAGAAGCCCCATGCGGGACATAAGCAGGGGGGGATGGAGGCAGGTCCAGGCCTGCCCATCCCTGTGTGTGCACTAGATTCACCACCCGCACCCCGAGGGCAGGAGGGACCACTCACCTAGAATGAAGAGATGTGTAGATTCAGTAAACTTTACATAGTTTAGGCTTATGAGCTTCACCGTATATAATCCTGCGTCTTCCCTGGTGAGGTTCTTGATCTTCAGAACTCCCTTTGGTTTTGTTATGTAGCGCGGTTTGTATGCTAATCCAGGGATGGTTTTTCCTGACTTTTCTATGTGTGTTGCAATTATATTATTTGCTTTTCTGTTGTCACCTTTGGACCAGATGAAGCGGTGCACATCCGTCGGAATGCTTTTAAGCTTAAGCTTGTAAATCGCATAAGGAGTGATGACACCTTCGTTGTTTCTCAGTTTCAACCTGAATCCGCCATTGGTGGGTGGAACCCAGAAGATGCAGAGTGCGACTAGGAGGGAGAGAGAGAAATTAGTCAGTATTTGTACTGACATATTAGGATAGAAAGGCTCGAATTTATCTTCTTAGGTGGGGGTGGGTGTGTGTGTGTGTGCTGTATTTTAATGATCAGCATGATGAACAGTGTTTTTCATTGTGTCCCAACTATTTGTTGCTCTATTAAATTCTTGGGCCCAGTTATTGCCAGGCTCACCTCTTCCCTGCCCTCAGGCCCCTGCTCACCCTCAGGGCATCCATGGGAGATGCATCCCTGACCCCCTGCGCTGAAGACGCTCAGTCCTCACTGTGTGACCTTTCCCTGCTCTGTGTCCTTCAGGACACTTGTCAGCACCTGACAGCACATTCTAGATCTTGGTTGCCTGTCTTTCTCCCCCAAGAATGTTATTGCTTTGAGTGCAGGGACTTATCTGACTTGTTGTCTCCCCAGTGGTGTCACCAGGGCCCCTCCTTGTCTGGTAATTAGCTATTGAGTTTTGAGGCTGGTGAGCGTAGCCAGTGTTTATTGCCCTGGTACTTCTTTTCTGGAGTGTGGTCCTGAATAAATTGTTGCTGACTTCAGACTCAGTGATGAGTATCATGGACTTTGTGCCCTATTCTAGATTTTCTCCCTCTCCCCTCCACACATCATGTAGCTGATCCCCTGGTCATGATCCTAACTCATATTCCCTCTAGTCAGACTAAATATTAGTCCTCTGTCCCAGCTCAAGGATTCCTGTTTTCCTGTCCTTTTTCCTCCCAGGGGACAACCTGTCCAGCTAGTGTCTGTGTGTCCATCCCCCACCCACCTTGGGTACATGTCCCTCTCACCTGCCAGCAGGAGCCCCTGCCAAGGCACTCGCCCTCTGTGTCCATGGGCTGAGGGAGCCTCCATGGTGTCTGCTGCCTGCTCTGTGGTCCTTGTGAGAGAAGAGCTGTGGCTCCAGAAAGGCTCACAGGCACGGCTGTTCCTGAGTTTCAACGCTGAGGTGCTTCCTCCTCTGTGCTGAGCCTCCTCCTGGGCAAGGGATTTTGAGGGTCCTGTAGTTCATGGGTGGGGTCTCCAGGACCCTCCCTCTCTCTTCACCTCATCCTGCCCCCCTTGTTCACTTTTGCCTCTCTTCAGTCTGCATGGAGACTAGAACTGCTGAGGTGCCTGCCCTCCACAGCTGTGAGCTCTAATCTATGCGTGCGCATGCGCGCATGCACGCATACACACACACACACACACAGAGTTATGAAACTGCTGGTATCAAGGGTAGCTTTAGCAAGCTGGACTTAAATCTGGTTAAAAATAAACATTAAACAACCAACATTTCAAAAGAAATTCATAAAAAATTTAGTATCATAATTAGTCCATTTAGTGTCTTGTAGTGAATTCTTGATATCTGTTCTCATTTCTTGAGATCCATTTTTCCATGAGTTCTGGAACTACTTCCTTAGTTCAGTTTATGATAAAACTCCATTGTCAAGTATTTTCAAATTCTGTTAAATGCCTAAAATTGTTAAGGACCGTAAGCAAAGACTGATGAAATTTATTTGCAATGCAGTTTGACCAGGAGTGTAGACTATTTCTGTGATAATGATGTTTAATGCAGGAATTGGAATTAGAGTAATAATATTATAGCAGCATAATTTAGGGTTCGAAATTGTTAAAATGTACATCATTAGCATTAACTATGTATTCACTGAAATATAAATGAAGTTCTTCCTATTTCAGGATTCTTTCCATGCTGTTGAACATACATAAACCCTGAAGAGTTTCTGTTTTACATATCATATACATAATAACCTGTGCATGCAGGGATTTGACACTAAGATTTTCTTCAACACCGTTTGAATCTCAATTTTTCTACCTCCTCAATTATACAAAGTAAAATATCTTTCTCTTTTAACAAAAACCCTACTTAAGAACACATAATATTTTTCATCCAGTACTATTTTTAACTTTTTTTATACAGAGTGTTGACTTCTTTACTATTTTTAGTAGTTTAATTATATTTATTAATGGAATTTCTTAATTTTTTTTAATTTTATTTTTATATTCCCCATACAATTGCAGCCCCCTTATTTTGACCCCAAGCCCTCCTTTCCCCGCCCCCCAACCCCCATAGAGTGTCTCTGGTTCATAGTTGTTTGTTGATTTTGATATTTTCTTTCTTTTTTTTTTTTTTTTTTAATAGATGCATGTTTATTTATTTATTTGTTTGTTTGTTTTGTTTTGTTTATACATGCACTGGGTACAGTCAGAAGTACGGGAGGGTGAGAGAATTCACCAGAGCCAGAGCGGGGAGCAGAGCAGGCAGAAGGACCGAAGTACGCTGCTGAGGGGAGCAGCGGGCGGCAGGAGAGGTCTGCGCGCCATGTGGGACCCTCCTCCGGTGGCCGGGGAGCAGCCGGGGATCGAACCGGCGCCGCAGAGGCCGCGGGCAGCTTCGCAACCCAGCGCTCAACCGCTGCGCCACCGGGGAAGCCCGATATTTTCTTTCTTATCGTTATTCTTTTTCCTGGTCCCTTATTTAAGTTTTCTAGATTCCTGTTATGAGTGAGACCATTGGAATTTCTTAATTTTTAACTGCCTTAATTCACAGTAACATCAGCATCTGTGACTACCTTTCACGAGACTCTCAGGGCTGGGAAGGTATGAATGCAGCTCCTTAGTCTAGATGTATGTGTGCCTGACACAGAGGCAGTTGTCAAGGGCCCAAGACATGTCTGCTATTAGCCAATTTCCTTTCACCTACTTTATAGATATTCATGGAATTTTCATAGTTGATTTAACTAGCGAAATCTAAAGTATAAATTATGTAAATTATTTGAGAGTCTAACAAAACTACAGCAGAAAGATCACCTAGATATTCTGACCCCATTCTATGTATTAACCATGTGCCATCGTAAATGTGCTTTTCAGGGTGTTACCAGGCTGGTTTACCTGATCGAGGGTTTGCAGACAGAGGAATTAAAATCCTTTGCTGCGGTGCCTTCCTGGTAGCCTAGGGGTTAATTCTCAGGGCTCTCGCCTCCTAAGAACTGAGTTTGATCCCTGGCGATTGAGCTAACCCACATGGCCAGCAGACCTCTCCTATGTCACCTACTGTACTCCTCAGCAGTGTGTTTCAGTAGATCTGCCTGTTCTGCTCCCCACTCTGTCTCATGTGAATCCCTTCACTCTCCACACCTCTGGCCTACACCCCAGTTCTTCTATGCAAAAAAAAAAAAAATTAAACTCTGCTTGCTGGGAGGGTGAAAACTGCATTAAGTATTAAATCTTGAAGAAGTGGTGACAAGGGATCAGCACCATCTTCTCTACTTGAGGCCTGTTGTCTCTCTTGTTACCTACAAAGGTTTCCTAAGCCTGAGTCTGTCATTACTGTCAGGTGTATCTCATGTTGACAAATTTTGAAACATGAGATAAACTTTTTATACTAGAGATGCAGTGCGCTCTATTTATTCACAACCCATTTAGGAAAGGTGACATGTCTGTGTATCGCCAAATCTGTTATTGCAAAAGACATGCCTATTTCAATCAATCCAACAAAATTACTTGCTTTTATTTGTCAGATGTTACCCAGATTATACTGACTGCAAAAAAAAAAAAAAAAAAAAGCTGTGTTAATTTTGGCAAACATATGAAACACTGAAGTTTTAGGAATTAATTATTATTGAGTCTAAAATGCAAAGATAGTCCTCAGTGCTGGCAGCACTCCATGGGGGTGAACATGGCGTGGACGTGCAGAGCCCACCTCCACCTGCCCAGTTGTTGATCCCTGTTAACAGGATTTACAAAAATCAGCTGGTATGGACCAGAGGGCGTTATGATATGTGAAATGCGTCAGAATGAATAAGGCAAATACCACAAATTCCATTGTTGAGATAGATAGAGAGAAATCAGATGAACAAGGAAAACAAAGTTCATCTCAGAGCAGATTGGATGTTGCCAGAGGGGCAGAGGCTGGAGGGGGTGGGTGGAAAAGGTCAAGGGATCCCTCTGGATGGTGGATGGAAGTTAGACATTTGCTGGTGATGGGGATTTCTCCACAAGCTCTCAAAGGTATTACTGTGCACCTGACACATATATGATGTTATGAATCAGTTTATTAAGTTATAATGTCATTGGGTATTGACCTGTTAGCAGACATATGGGAAGAGCACTAAGTGGGGACTGGTTGATTAAAGCCTAAAGTTTCAGGAAAGGTGGCAGAATCTGCCATCCTAATAAGTCACCTCAGCAGGAGCATTATTTTGAGCTAAAGGCACTGAAACATTAGAAGCTGAAGGCCTTGTGACTCTCCTCTTCTTTAATCCTAAAAATCATAGCTTAAATTTTCCTGTGACACTGTCCCCCAATGAGGAAGGACCTCGTTGTCCAGGCCCAGATGTGGATGGAGGAGAAAGTGTAGAAACACTTTGTTGAAATACTTCTCCCTTTAGCTTCTTACATATCTTAATGACATTTTAACCTTTGCTAGCTCTGTTGGACGTAGAATAACATATTTCACTGTGGCTTCTCCACTTGTCTCCATTTCTACATGAAGCTCCTTTGATATAAGTCACATTTGTGCTTCTCTCATTTACCTTTTTTTTTGTTTCTGACCCTAGACCAAACCTATGATAGAAAATGCAAAGAATTTTCTTCCTCTGCAGTCTTTCTCCACTATTTGTTTTAATTGAATGACACATAGAGACAGATAGTCACTCTTTTAATAATGTGGTTTGTATATTTATTAATTTTATTTTGATCATATTTGTGTACAGCCTTATATATAACTCAGGAATGTAGAGTTACCCCCTTTAAATGTATATTGCAGTCCCACACCCATCACCACGGTCCCTGCGATCCTGCACCAGGCCAGCATGAGGCCACTGAGTGCCTCATCCTCTGACCTTTGTTTGCTTCAGGTCTTGACACCATAGGGTTGGTTGTTTTCCTCACTCTCTTCAGTTCAGCCTCCGGAACAGGGTCTCCCAATGTCCCCTTTTCTCTGGTGCAGTCAGGAAGCCCACTGCAGGAAACTCCTCAAACTAGAACTTCCCTTTCCCACAGAGAGGTCAGAGCTGTAGGACTGGAATCTGGGCAGGGTGCTTCCCGCCCCCAGCCCAGGTCTCTGCCTCAGCCCAGGTCTCTGCAAACTATGGCTTTGCCCTGTCCTTGCGCTGTTTTCTGGGGTGTAGCCAAGGGGAGCCTTTGGGGGTGAGCCCCAGGGGAATGGAGACCCGGTGGGGAGTTACCAGGAATGACGGTGCTTGAGCAAGTGTCTCCACACCCTCCTCTTTCCAAATATTATTGCCATTGGTTTCCTCTGTGCAAATCTTTGAAGTTGTGGACTTTTATCATAGGACTTTTATCCCTTCTCTTTTCATCCATTATTCTTGTTCACTCCATAATGAGGTAAAAGGTAACAGTTGATGTTTGTTGTCCAGCTGACCTGCATTTTTGGGGCAAACTCAACTCGGTGTTTGCACATTTACTGGGCAGCACGTTGTCCAGTGATTGTCATTCTGCTCGTGACTAGGGTTGATATTTCCCTCTCCTCCTCTCCTGGTCTGGTTGTGTCATGCAGGTCTGTTACATGTGACATGAAGCAAGCAGAGTTATTTATCTGCTTGCTGGAAAAGCTGATAAGATCAGTGTGAGCTGGTGATTGATTATGTCTGTGATGATGGGAATTTTCCCCATACTTTCAAGAGTCTCAGGATAGTAAAAGTGTCAAATAATATCACTAGATTGAGGTAAAAAACAAATTTTTATTACATCATGGAAGGGGATCTACGTAAACTTGATGATTTCAAAGATAGTGAGGCCAAAGTTAGTTATATCTCCAGAGGTAAGGAATGAGATGGAGTCCTAGGGTGTCCAGTGGAAGGGGGAGTAAACTCCCTTGATGAGGAGAGTGA